TTAACCGGACAACTTTTATCAGCGCATCTGTTTAACCGGACTTGATCGGCAGGAAGTGCGCGGTACTGAAATGACTGTTCTCGTGGGAAAGATTTGAGACCAGCGATAACGTGTATAAACACAATGCTCTCCTAAATTTCAGTCAAATATTTGGGTTACATGCATTTAAGTGGTCCGTTTTAACGAGTTTTTGGGGATGTCTGTTAAACCGGAAAAACTGTTATCCGGACTGGCCTCGGTCCTGAGCAGTTCGGATAAGAGGGAGTCTACTGTACAGTGTATTTTTGCTTCTATGGACCCTAAAACAGTACAGGGGTTCCACATCTAGATCTTACCATGAAGTCTATCTAGAATATGGTAGCTACATCTTTATAGGAAATGTACGATAAAATACTCATTCTTGACAGCTTAATAATGTTTTTGCATACCTAAAATGATTCTGTTGATGGGAGTCCCTTTTGCAACCTGGTTTTCAATAAGTTTTGAAATTTCTTTTGCCATTGGTTCAAGAGAGTCTAATTCTTCAGGGACATCAGGTTTTATACTTTTTCTGTTAAACCACACATGACTAAGCTGAAATTACAAGTCCAAATGTTAAAATTTTAGGCTACCCATGTTACAGAAATAGTAAACATTTTATATCTTAACCTAGTGTAAGGTACTTTCTTGATTTTCACCCTATTCTCTGCATTTAGACTACTTTGGGGTTTTCAGGACTCTCTCATTGACCGACACTAGTATACGTTTTATGCATTTATTTATCTGATACTTCACTTCTATTTATCTAATCTATCACTTCACTTCCACTATGGACTTTAGAAAACATACTGTGTAGTCATTTTACTGACTCACTCACTTACTCACTCACTCATCAATAATTCTCCCACTTCCCATTTACCTAGGAGGCTGAAATTCGGTACACCGATTCTTTGGGCATTAAATAGGAAAACTAAGTAGTTTTTATTCTGATCAGGCTTTCGGGCTCCGCCCCAGTTGCTCTGGGGTTACCCATGTTAACCTTATGATTTTACATATTTAAAAGGAATTAATGAATCTTAACAGCTGTTTCAATTAAACAAGTTGGTTCTGTTCTATGATGTTCAATAGCATTAAAGTTACAAGTATTACCAACAGGGTGTAGCACTATTATTTTTTTTATTTTATGACAACAGCTAATTTGCAACCAAAAGGTGAGTGGGCGTAGCGAACGAACTTCAACCTGGAAGCGAGTTAGCGTAGCGAACGAGCTAACCTGAAGGCAAGTGAGCGCAGCGAACGAGCTCCAACCTAAAGGTGAGTGAGCGTAGCGAACGAACTTCAACCAGAACGTGATTGAGCCATGCGAATACTTATGAAGTTAAACGGGGCAAAGCCCGCGGGTACAGCTAGTCTATATATAAAGCCAAAAGTACCCCCATGAACTTTTGAGAAAACTACAAGTCCCACTCCCATAAACCATATACTTAAAATGTTCGTCATGACGAGAAACCTTGCGCAAAACTATCCATTATTTCATAAATTGCACTTTAACACGTTTGCTACTGCAATAGTACGAAATTTTTCATTCACATGGACCAGCGACGCCGGTTTCCACCCGTAGACTGCCGTCGCAAATATGCCACATTAAAATAATAAGATAAAAATAATAAGTCACATTAAAATAGACTGCCGTTGCATATTTGCGTCGGGGTTCTAATGTTATTAAAATGCTTATATCTTTGTAACGGTCTATTTGAAGGCACTGAATTCCCTGCAGTGGTCTACAGAGATGTCTGACGCACAACTGCGTCGCTTGGTCTGCGGATATGATGATTGGTGACGTCATATGATAGTGGGAAAAACTGGTCTTTACTTTTCTGCATCACTGTATGTAGGTCTATGTATGCAGTATGTATGCTGCATTATCCTATGTAGCTTTATATTTGTTCAGTTATAAACTGTTTTTCAATAATCTGGGTTTTTTTACTTATTTTCACCTCAAAACACAAACAAAAATGAACTGTCGCATATATGCGACGTTTGGTCTATTTCAAGAAAACTATGATAATTTTCACTATTGTCTTCGCTGTAGACCGGGCGTCGCAAATATGCAACATCACAAAAGGTTATAAAAAATACAAAAAAACAAGAATAAATTATTTACAAACACGATTGTAGCGTATTACGATGTAAATGATCACTGTTTTACAGGTTTTCGCCCGTGGTCTGTGTGTACTGTTATCCAAGTGACAGCCGGTCTATGTGTAAAGATTCAAATGTATACCTCGGTCTATGCGACGCTCAGTAGCGAACGTGTTATGGTCGTAATTCCTTTCCAAAGGGAACCTTCCATATACCTAATGTTAAAAATACCTCAGCTGTACTTATTTGTTATTCTTTCAATTTATTACCTTATTAAAACCAGGTGTGATTGTTTGTTTTACTGTATTTTGTTAATTTCAGTTTAACTTACCAATCAATAGTTTTATTAATACTTATGAAGTCAAACGGGGTGAAGCCCGTGGGTAACAGCTAGTTATTATAAAAGTAAAATCAATTATAAACAAGTGGTTATGGACCCAGTTTCACTTTTATTGTAACATGTTCTCTGTGGCCTATTTGAACTGTTTAATTTTTGAGGGAAGTGTTTAAGAAATATTATAGTAAATTTAATTAAATATACACTTATTAATTAGTATGATGGGAGACAAAGTTGTATCATGTACTATTAATACAACAACTTCTGTATCCAATAGTCAATGGTTGTATACTCCACATCAGCCACTGGAATTTCTAAGTTGAAAGGGTCAGCCAACTATGAAAGTTGGAAATTTGATATGAGGATGGCTCTAAAGTATGAAGGATTGTGGAATTGCATTGAACCACGAAGGACTACTACAGAGATGACACCGCTAACTGTGGATCCAGACAAAGATGAGAGGGCACTGGCCAAGATTGCCATGCACCCGGAGACAGCTCCAAAACTACATGTCAGGACGGCCACATCAGCGAAGGAAGCATGGAACATTTTAGCAAAGCAGTATGAAGTCAAGAGCACAAACAGGAGAATATTTCTGCTGGACCAGCTTTTAGAATTAAAGTTGGAAGTATGCAACAGCATGAGTGAGTATATTTCTAAATTTCTTGACCTCAATGCTCAACTTGCTGACATAGAGAAACCCATGGACGAGGAAATGAAGGCGTGTCTACTTCTAAGAGGTTTGCCTGAGTCTTACAGAGCATATAGGATGGCAGTCGAGAGTACAGATAAAGTAGAATATAGTAAAGTACTAGAAAAATTCAATATCATGGCTGAAAAGGATACCACTGAGTCCTCTGTAGTATTTTTAACTTTTAAAAGCAGTACCGGTACTGGGAAGCCTTTTTTATCAAAATCAAATAATAGTCAAGCTAACTCTAATAATAGCTCAAAGACAAGGATGTTTTTTATTCCTAATTGTTACAAATGTAGAAAGGCAGGCCATATGATAAGGAATTGTCCTGAAAATAATCAAGAAATCAAGCTTATATTAGTAATAGCTCAAAGATAGGGTCAATTTCCAAAATTGTAAGAGGTGAAGTCTGTGGAACTGGAACAAATGTAAACGGACTGTGTCGGTTGGATACAGAGAGTAAATGCAACATTGATCCAAATTTTGGCAATTTAGCTATGTCTACTCAAGTTGACCAGTCAGTCTGGACCTTCACAATTTATGGCACAGAAGGTTGGGTCACTTGAATCATGTTAGCATGGGTGTTTTGAAAAAGGGGATGGCTTTGGGTGTTGATTTTCCTAGTCAGAGGCCAGATTCGTGCATTCCCTTTGTGGAGGGGAAACACTCGAGAGAATCTTTCCCAACCACTCCAAGTAAGAGAACTGAGACAAAACTAGAGTTAATCCATACTGATGTCTGTGGGCCTATGAATGTTCAGTCTCTTCAAGGTAATCGCTTCATGACAATATTTATTGATGACTTCACCAGAATGCCCTTTGGTTATTTCTTGAAATCAAAGGATGAAGTAGTTGATTGTTTTATCAAGTTCAAGACTTTAGTTGCAAATCAGACCAGTAAGACTATAAAAACTGTTAGGTCAGATGAAGGCCAATTGTAGTATATGAATGTGAGACTAGAATGAGTGTGTAATAGATTTGGAATAAGGCACCAGGTCACTACTCGATACAGTCCTGAGCAGAATGCGGTAGCAGAGCGTGCAAATAGAACTATTATTGAAAAGACTAGAAGCATGCTAAGTGACTCAAATTTGAGCAAGGGTTACTGGCAGTATGCTGTGGAGGTAGCTATTTATCTTAAGAATCAAAGTCCTACAAAAGCTGTTTTCGGAGTCACTCTACAGGAGAAATGGACTGGATCTAAAGTGGACCTCAGTCACCTTAGAGTTTTTGGGTGCATAGGCTATGTGCATGTGCCTAAGGAGAGAAGGGCCAAATTGGACTATAAGAGTGTTCCTCACATTTTTGTAGGTTACAGTGAGGATGTCAAAGGTTACAAGTTGGTCGACCCTAAGTCTCCCCGTAGAGTGATTTATTCTAGAGATGTAAAGTTTTTTGAAAACTTATTTTATAATGGTCGTGAAGAAAATAATGGTGATGAAACTACACAACCAGTCGAGACCACAGTAAGCATCCAGACCACCAAACTCGATGAACCTTGCAGGAATCCTGATGCAGAAGAGGAGAGCTTCATTCTCGATAGTATCAACATTGAGCAAGATGATGACGATGTTGGAACTGGAGAATCCACTGAAGGAGATTCGGGAAATGATGAGGAAGGTGACGCGAAATTTGGATTGAGGATTGAGTATTTCTTGTTTAGTAAGAAGTTTTAGTGTGGAAGCGTATATATAAATTTAGTTCAGTAAAGTTTAGAAGTTAAGTTTAAAGTTTCTTGTTACTTAGTAAATATAAGTTAATCATCTGTCTTAATCAGATGTAAATAAAAACATTTGCTATATACAGTCTCATGGCTTAGCCACACTCCCACGGAACATAAAGAGAATTTTTAAGTCTTACTTTTCTTCTTAGCATTTTTTTTCGTTAGTGTACTTAGAAATGAAGTTTGAGTTTGGCGATTCATGCTTTTTAAAGGGGTGATAACCTTCATGCTCTCTTTGTTGTTCTTTAGCTCCAAACCAGTGGTTTGGCTTGGAGCTTCAATGTTCTTGTGATGCGACACAGTAGTTTGGCTTGGAGCTTCAAAGATTTTGGGATGCGACACAGTAGTTTGGCTTGGAGCTTCAATGTTCTTGTGATGCGACGCAGTAGAATGGATTGGAGCTTCAATGTTCTTGTGATGCGACACAGTAGTTTGGATTGGAGCTTCAAAGTTTTTGGGAAGCGACACAGTAGTTTGGCTAGAAGCTTCAAAGTTTTTGGGCTGCGACACAGTAGTTTGGCTTGGAGCTTCAAAGATTTTGGGCTGTGGCACAGTAGTTTGGATTGGAGCTTTAAGGTTTTTGTGTTGTGACACAGTAGTTTGGTTTGAAGTTTCAAAGTTTTTGTGCTGTGACACAGTAGTTCGACTTGGAGCTTCATTGATTTTGGGCTGCGACACAGTAGTTTGGTTTGGAACTTCAAAGTTTTTGTGCTGCGACACAGTAGTTTGACTTGGAGCTCCTATGCTTTTGTGCTGCGACACAGTAGCTTGTCTTGGAGCTTCAATGTTTTTGTGCTGCGACACAGTAGTTTGCCATTTCAAAATATTACCATTGAAAGTAGGAAGAGAAAATTTTGGTAATTTCATTGATGTAGTTTTGGGCATAGTTACAGGTAAGGGAAAGTTCAGTGGGCTCACCTGAATTAAATCCGTTTGTTCATTACGTTCAGTGACAGTCTGAAGAGGTCCCTTCTCCGAAAACGCGATGCTCACCTTAAGTTTGTCGCTGATTTCATCAAAGTCGAGCATCAGGAAAATGTTGTCTTCAGTTACCTTTTCGTTTTCATCTTTTTCTTCAATAGGCAAATCATGTAGGTCCATTATTGATTTCGTAAACTTTTATTGAACTCGTCTCGCGTAAGTTGAAAGTACATTTAAGGTCGTTACTAGTCTCTTTGAAGAAATGGTAGTCTCATCGGCAGCTATCAAGTCGTTGGCTTCGACAATTGCAGTCTTCAATCTTTTGCTTGCCTCGATGTAGTTCTTTCGTAGCTGTTGAGAAGACATTCCTGAGTTTGAACTAAACCCTTGGGGATCTCCAACCACGGAAAAAATTCCGTCAACGCTCTGCTACCATGACGCGAAACTATATTGAGGATTGAAGTTTTTTCTTGTACAGTTAAAAGTTTTATGTGTGGAAGCGTGTGTATAAATTTAGTTGAGTAAAGTTTAGAAGTTAAGTTTAAAGTTTCTTGTTAGTAAATATAAGTTAAGAATTGGATTAGTTTGATATATAAAATTTAGTTTAAGTTAAAAGAATAAAGAACACTTATTTCTTCCAGTTTAGTTTTCATTCAAAAAGCTAATAATTTATTTAAAATCAAAACTAATCATCTGTCTTAATCAGATGTAAATAAAAACATTTGTTATATACAGTCTCATGGCTTAGCCACAGAAGGTGTTGAAATTAATGTGGGGAGTAGGTACCCTCTAAGAGTAAGAAAACCTAAAATGTTTCCTGATTTTGTTACCTACATGGTTACCCATGAGGATCTAGAGCCAAGTAGTTATCAAGAGGCAATAGAACATCCGAATAAGAATTTGTGGAAGCATACTTTTTTTTTTTTTTGTCCTAGGACGCTAGGCACGAGCCTGGGATTGTTTTTCACATTACTTCAGGCTAGACCTAGGGGTTGCGGCATTATCACTTAGATAAATCCATTGGTGACTTGGCGGGGATCGAACCCGGGACCTCAGGGACTGAAGTCCCGCGCTCTAACCACTATGCCAGCTCGCTCCCCCAACCCCTATGGAAGCATGCTATGGAGGAGGAGTTTACCTCGTTGATTAAGAATAACACCTGGACTCTTGTTGATCTACCACGTAAAAATGTTGTAAAATGTAAGTGGGTATATAATACAATTAAAAAAGACTGTAATGGAGTGATTGTGAAGCATGAAGCAAGACTGGTAGCAAAGGGGTTTATACAAAAATATGGCGTTGACTATGAGGATACTTTCTCGCCAGTGGTACGATTTGAAAGTTTGAGAGTTTTGTTTGCATTAGCTGTTAGGTTTGACTTATCCATTGATTACCTATGTAACATGCGCTTTTTTAAATGGAGAGTTGAAAGAAAAAATATACATGCGTCAACCAGAGGGTTTTGTAAAAATGGCTCAGAAACCAAAGTTTGCAGACTAAACAAGGCCATGGCTATGGTTTAAAGCAGGCATCAAAAGTCTGGAATGAAAAATTTGAAATTGTGTTGCAAGAGATGGGGTTTACACAACTAGAGTTAAAACCATGCATCTTTTCACTGTTTACAGATGGCAAACTTGCTATTATAGCTTTGTATGTAGATGACTTTTTTCTGTTCAGCAATTATGATGACTTAAAATCAAATGTAAAACTACAGTTAAAAGGATGTTTTGAAATCAAGGATCTTGGTGATGCAAAATTTGTACTAGGCATGAGAATAACTAAAGAAAATGATATCCTGAGAATTGATCAAACAGCTTACATTGAGATAATTTTTACACAATTTCATATGATTGATTGTAATCCTGCCAACACTCCTATGGAAGAAGGGATAGACCCTAAAAAGCCAGAGGTAAGCAGTAACAACTTGCAGTATCAGGAGCTGATAGGC